TGACAGATTGCGATGCTTGTTACAGGTTTTTTTTGCGGTAAGAAAGTGACAATTGCAAAAAAAGTTACGATTCTTGAAAAATTTGAAGAAAACAATCAATGCATATGCAGCAGCAGTAATGTTGTTGTGGTATTCAGAAGAGAAAAAAAGCCAAAAACTACAAAGAATTACTTAAATTAAAATTATTTAATTTATAAATTATTTTATATAGATAAATTCACACATTGGCAGACGTCTGTCGGCTCTAGCGAAGATGAATTCTGCCCAGAAACAGCAGCAGTGATGCTAACAGGCTATACAAAGTAAGCTCTTGCAGGTTTTCTTTCATTCGTAGTATTTTTTGGGGTCTTATTATGCCTTAAATGTATCGAGGCAGCTGAGGAATGACGGGGGAAAGTGGGGATAGATAGATAGCAAGAGGGAATGAGGTCCGAGCGTCTCACAGTTACTGAGAAATTATCTGTGTTTATCTCCCAGATAAAGTCAGCACAGATTAAGAGCACGAAGCCCTTCTGTCGTCGTGGTAGTACCAAAACACCACGTATAGCTGATAGTCTCTCATTCAACGTGTGTTAGTGAGAGAGGTAAGAACGTAAGAACGTGTGTTAATATAGGATTTATTGGCCAGGGTCGATCGGTAGATACAAATAACTGCACTGAATTTAAAGGGATGGTGAACACTTTTTTTATGCATTACTTTTGTGTTTCGGGTATTAGCCGTGTTTCCATCCCAACTAATCGCAAGTTTTAACCAAGTTAATCTGCAAAAGAAAACGCAATTGAATGGTTGGAGATGGTGCATTATGTAGAGCCAGTTGAACCACAAATGTGAAGAAAAAACGATGCAGAAAACACACCAGAAGTACACGTGTTATGTATTAATGTGAGGAAGGTTACATCGGGTCTGTGTGACGCGACTGTTAATGTTTTTATTGAATCATGGGAGCAATGTCCAGGTAGAAACAGTGAATTAAATGTTTGCTACATCAGAACATAAAACACATTGATGGACACGGGCTATTGTTTATTTTTTAGGTTAAAGTTAAATTATATGATAATAAAAATATATATATGGAAGTGTAGGATAATTTATTGCATTTGGTGTGCGTTTTATCATTCTGGGAATGATGCAAAACATTAATATATTATCAAGGTGTAATGTGTGAGTGTGTTTTTTTTATTGTGATTTGGGGTTAATTATTTTGATTTTGAAAGGGCTACGAATGGTTCCTCCTCTCCTGTCTTACTTACTTCAGCGTCTGGTCGGACATTATTGCATGAAGTATGCGGGCGTTACAAACCAGAAACACCTCACATGGAAGTTGCGTGTGAACGTTTGTTTTAAGGATGGGAACCAACCATCCCTCCGCTGTATAATGAGCACTTTAAGTTCACACCTCTGTACTTTGACTTTGTAAGATTTTTTAACTTTATAATGGAATATATGTTTGTATTTAAATAAAGGATCTTGAATACTTGGGTTACATTTTGTTGCTTTATCCAGTATACAGACACATATTCAGCTGCTATAACTTCACCGAGGAGAACTGCCAGTTTCTATTCTGTTGTTTTTTTTGTGTGGTTATTTCCGTGTTGTTCCTCTGTTTCTCTTCCTGCTGTTGAACAATGAGCACATACACTCTCCTCTCTGGGCTAAGAATTTGGTTTCAGTGTCATTTTCTCTTTCCTATCTTTGACGGTGGAGATTTAAATTTATATTCTCTTTCTAGAGTCAAATAACACTTTTCATTTGATTAAATCTAACTCTGGCTGTAGATTTTGCGCGAAGTAGTTCCTCATACTC